TGACTCTGTGCCTGGCAATTTTCTAAGATATGCAGATATTAGTTAATCCTCATGAAAATCTCATGGTATAGGCACAGTTGTTATGCCTGATTTGTAGATGAAGAAACTAAGATACAGAGAGAATAAGTAACTTGTCCAAAGTTGTACAACCAGTAAGTGGCAGAGTTGGGATTCAAACACAGGCAGTCTGACCCACATTTAAATCATTGTGCTGCACTCCTCCCATGATGTGAGGCATTGAGATGTTTTACAGAGGATGTTATCTTTCCCTATAAGTTTATATGATGATGGGAACATTTCTAAATATGCATTTGTAGACTGCTGTCACTATAGCATGAGTTTCTTTTGAGAAGTAGTTTTTTTCCCACTAAGTATTAAAGCATCAGATTTACTTCAAAGACATAGGTTACGTATTTATTTTCTTCAAAAATGCCTGCCAGGCAGTGTATTACTGATAGCCGTCTGCCATCATAGAACAGGGCAGCTAATTTGGAACACTTAGCTTTTTCAAAGAAAATTGTATAATTCATCTCTAAGCTTAAAACTCTTACATATTTTGCCACTGGAAAACCAACAAACCTTTTTGTGGTCAAAGTACTACAGTTTTCTTCTCGTGCCCCAGCGGCTCATCTTGCAAGAGTCCTTTTCATCGATGGTTTTCCCATCGGGAGGAGAACTGAATCCAAACTCAGGCTCTGGCTCATTTCAGACACTGTTTTTATGAGACTGACACACTACCTGCTGTACTAACCCGACACCTCAGACATTGTATCTTCAGCTCTAGAATTCATTTGATTCTTCTTTATATCGTCCTTTCTCTGCTTGATTGTGTTCATATTTTTCTTTAAATCATTGAGCACAGGCCTCCCTCTCTAACCACTTGTCCGTTGCTGCTCTCCCTTCCCTTCACAGCAGCCTCACTAGCTTCGCTCTGTGTCTTGAGTATGCCAGGTCACACCCATGGCTGGACCTTTGCACTGCTGTTCTCTCTGCCAAGAGTGTGTTTTCACAGGTCTGAATCCCACTGTCACCTCCTCCAAGAGGCCCTCCCTGCCCGTTTGTGTCCAGGACCCATTCCCCATTCTCCACACCCTCTTTCCTCTCTTCATGCTTGCCAGTACCTGAAAGGATTCTGTTTTGTTGGGCTTTGCTTTTTGTTGTATTGCCCACTTCACTAGAACATCAAGTCTTTGAGAGCAAGGATTGTCGTCTTCACCACCACGTCCTCCTGGCACCTAAAACGGTCCTGATGCTGTAGAACGTGTACAGGGACCCCAGCAGTCAGACTGAACTGTTCTTTTGGGTGTGCTGGGCACTTCCCTGCTCCTTGCTCCCCTGCGTGTTGCATCTTCCACGTGGACAGACTGCCCCACCCACTCCACGGGTCTAAATTCAGTCTCTTCTTTGGGAAAAAAAAATCTCCTTTTCCCACTTCTCTGTCTGGGAGTGGTGTCCCACTCCTCTGCTTCGGGACGGCCCTTCTTGCTTTACCTTTGTTATTTGTGTATTTGTGAACATGCTCTATCCCTACCGCGAGGCTGGTCCCGGCCGTCTTGGCTGGTGTCCGTCCCAGTGCCTCACCCAGGCCTTGCCCAGAGCAGACGGATGCTTAGGAAATACTTGTTAAATTAGTACTTGAAGAGACAGTATAATCTGGTTGGCTGCTGGTTCAGGAAGCACAAATCTTAATTAAAATTTTGCATACCTGTTTGCCTGGCCATCTTCTCTCCTCCCCCCGTCCCTGTCCCTGGGTGAGATGCCAGCGCGTGACGCATTGCAGAGCCCCCTCCGCCGACCTCTGACCGTGATGGCTGGAATTAATGAGATAATGTTACATGGGCTTGGGAGAAGATGCTGAATAAATGCAGGTGACGGTATTATTTGTTTGTTGTAATTATGTTCTTTGAGTGTTGTGTTGCATAATGGGCCATATAGTGCCTCAAAGAGTGTTTGAGGAATTACCTGTTAGATGGTTGTCAAACACATTGCAAGTCTGTCCCGTTGGGTGGATGCATGTTGACGTGGAGGAGGCTGGGCAGACAGAGCTTGCAGGATTTGTGTCTTCCTGTTCCACGTATGGGTGTGTCCTCTTGCCTCCCCGAGACAATTCCCTAATTGAGCTGCTGAGATCGGAGGCTTGTGACGTTCAGAATAAGACCTAACAATACTTGTGTGGGGTTTAAATGGCATTGGAAATCATTAACAAGACAAAAAGCTATGATTTCGCCTAGATTAACGTTCAGGTTGGGGTTTGGCGTGCCGAAATTCATTGTTTTGGTCTCCAGCCCAAACATGCTGGAGTCATTATACTGTCATGCGGTAATTAGCTGTTCCTTTAATACAAGTAATAAAAATTAAGCCTAAGAGGTACTTTAGCAGTGCCTTTTACATAATCCAAAACAATGTTCAGATGCTGTCGGCGTTTAGGCATTCAGCTGTACTGTAGTAAAGTTTGAAGTTTAATGCCTAGAGATGTTTGAACATTCAGTTCGTTCTTTATCCTGTGACCAGTTTTGCTACTTAGCATTAACCTTTAATCGTGTTAAATTAAATATACATGCCGTAATGAATAATGATGAGATTGCCAGAATTTTCATTTACAATATAATGCTTTGAAAATTTGTCTAAAGGTCTAGTTACCATTCACTTGATAATGTGTATGTTATTTTCATATGTCACTGAATTCCTTGCTGAATCGAGCGAGGGAAGCTATTTTTTATTCGAAGCAGACGTAGCGGGTCCTGGCCTTTTAAAAGGAATGGACTGGGAAAGTTGTCGGCAGAAATTTTAGGGATGGAGGGCACTATACTAGCTGAGCTCTTTAAAAATATAATTTGTGCTGGCAATTGTGCCAGAAAGCCTCCATGAGTGGACGTTAATAGAATTTTATACAAGTGCAGCGTTCTTCTCAGTCCGTCCGTGACCTCTGCTTCAAGTTCAAGTTGTAGTTCTATATGAAGTGGGGCCATGGGCATGCTGTTTATGTCCTTCACGCCATTTTCCCAGCGTGAGGCCGTGGGCGGAGGAGTGAAAGGGGTGGGGGGTGGGAAGGTACCCTGGAAAGATGCTGAAATTAAAAAGAAAAAAAAAACTGCACCTGGAATGTTCTGAGGAATTCAGTCTTTAGTGTTATTACTACTCCTACTTACAAGGAACCGTCTCCCCGAAATAGCTTTTGAAATCTAATTAAATATAAATATTTTAATGCTGATTAAAATAATAATGAAAAGCCACAAGCGAGAAAGGGATATACTCGTAAAGTGTATATACACAGAGAATAAACGCCCGACAGCCAAGGGTTTCGCATGATGGACAGTGTTGGTGTTAAACCCCACGGGCAGGTCTGGTGCCGCTGGGCTGGATATATCCCAGTGCCTGCCTTTTATAAACTCTACAAAGACGTTGGCATCTCAAAGAGTTCCTGGCTCCTGGTGGACTCGCCAACAGAGGCACGGTGGATCAAGCCCTCGTTTCCAGGAACCAGGGGTGGTCTGAAAAATTAATGACTCCGGTATCTGAAAATTAAGTGAGCTCTTGAATATATACCCTTGTTGATCCACTGGCTTGGTGTTTAGCATTCCTCAAACAGAGACTAAATCTTTACAGCCATCTCCCCAGTGATGCTGGCCTCCATGCCAGGAATATCTTCCGTAATCTTTTCTAAGCCCAGTGGACTTGGGTATTCTTCTCCTCTGACAAAGCCTGAGAATTCCAGAGGAAGTGCTCCCCTGGTGCCCGGCAGGTGGATTATAAGTGCCTCATAGGCAGCAGAAGAAAAAATACAGATGCAGTTGACGCCAGGGAAACATTTAATGTCTCTCCATTTTGTGCTGAATTAATGGTAACTAATGGTAATTGATGGCAAAGGCCAACAGTTAGCACTGTAAATCCATGTCTGCAATCTCTAATTTTAGGTTAAAATTCTATTTTTTATAAGTAAATCTGATGGCAGATTGTACATTGAATTAACCACCAGACCTCATCTTACTGGCCCGGATGCCCTCTCCTGCCCTTTCGACTATAATCAGGAGGGCGGTGGCCTCCTGACTGGCTGGCTCGCTGGCCTAGGATGGGTCACAGCAGGCTAGTCACCAGCTGGGCCTCTGGGGAAGGGCAGAAACCTAGGGTCCTCCAGTCTTCAGATCACCAACTGCTGAGCCCTGGCTCTAAAGGAGGCTCCCGATGGATCATGTCCTAAGTAGAGTGGCTTCTCAGAAAGCCCATGTTTGTTTCCTCCGCTCCTTCAGGGACCTTCCCTGTTGGAAGAATGGTCACTTGGAATTAACAGACTTGGGTTCACGCGCTCTCTGCCCACTCACTGGCCCTTGGGCAAGGCGCTCGGCTTCCCTGAGCTTCAGTCCCACCTCTGTGAAAGGAACGTGATCGCATCTCACACCCCCTCCCAGGGTTGTTGTGGTGCTCAAATGAGAAAATGTCTGAAAAAGTGTCTTAGGACTGCCTGACGCTCTCCGGGTGTCAGGGGTTCTTTCCGACAGCATAGAATTGTTGAAAACAGATTAAAGCTCGTGAGCGCCTCCTGCACACCCTCCCAGTGGGGCGCTAGGGTCATGGTTGATGTTCCCAGGTCTTCTCGCCTTGCTCCCGCCCCCACCCCCTGTATCTCTCTTTCTATCAAATCTAAGGTGTCACAGCACGCCAGAGCAGTGGACAAACCCAGGGAACCACAGCCATTCCCACCCCACTTTCATGTGTTCAGGATCCTGGAGTGGGTCTCTGTGCCATGTCCTCACTGTCATCTGTGTACACATCCTTTGTAGGCCACAGAGAAGGCCCCAGCCAAACATGGGGCTCCCGGGGGCTCTGCAGGAGGCGGTGAGGCCATAGGGGCCCCAGCTTCTGGCAAGTGGTGGCAGCCCCGGGGGACCTGCTGGAGACGGACCTCCCAGGCGCCCAGGAGACCTGCCCCAGCTCTCCGTGTGACCCTGAGGGTGGCTCGTCTGTGTCCACAGTGGGGTGACTTGTGCTTTCCTCTCTTGCAGATCCCGTGCCGGCTCTGGAGCTGGGGCAGCAGCTCCAGGTCAAAGTGCAGCGGCTGCACGACATTGAAACAGAGAACCAGAAACTTAGGGAAACTCTTGAAGAATACAACAAGGAATTTGCCGAAGTGAAGAATCAAGGTTGGTGGAAGACGTGCTCGGCGCTTTTCTCTTTTCCTTTTTGTCTCCTTTCTTTTCTTTTTTTTTAATTGCCTTCGCCACACTGTTGGGACTAGCTCTAATTGTCGTATATGTCATAAAGTCGGGGTGGGGCAAGACTCGGAGCCTTTAAAGAGAGATAATAATAATGCTTCGCTGTTTAGAAGTAAAGCTTTCCTCTGCACATGTAACTACATAGGATTTTATTGCCCTCCGACGGGACGGGTCAGGATGCTTTTAAAATTCTTCCTGGATCAGCATGTGATAAGATCTGCCTTTTAAAGGACGGATGCGTTGCCTGCGGGTGACACCTGTCAGGGCGCCAGCTTATGATCAAAGGGCCACGTTCAGTCAGTCATTTAATAATTGCTGCCGATACATTAAGGCTGGAGACGCATCCTTCGAGTCTGCATGCTTGAGCACCACTGTTTCCTTGTCAGCGTCACCTACTCATTATGGAAAACAGCCCCTTGGTGCGGCGGCCCAGCCGCAAGCCCAGCAGAGAGGGCAGAGGCTGCCTGGCTTTTCCTGTCGGGGAGGAACAAAGAAACCTCTGCTACACCGAACATCCAGATGTGTTCAGAGTCTGGGAGCCTGTGGCTTCCTCGTCTTGAGGAGAAATCATAACCCCATCTGACCACAGCTGTTGGTTTTCCAGCCAAGTCCAGGGAGAAATTCACCCATTTGTTTTTGTTTAGGGGTGTCGGTGAGGAAGGAGCTAGAAAGGAAAGGCAGGCTGTTTGGGTGACTCCCTCTGGGTGGCCTCCCGTTTAATATGCTCCCGGGCCTGGATAAAGAGTTCACTGGTGACGATTGTGAAGAGTGTTCTCAGGCCTTGAGACCATTGGGGACAGGCTTGCAGTCAAGGCTTGTCCGGGGGAAGGGTCCAGGAAGAGGCTGATGGGAAGCTGGAAGGTTCAGGCCTGAGCGGTCCTGAGGGCCTTCCTCAGGGGAATGGGCTGGGGAGACAGCTGAGACCCCACCTCGATCTGGCGCCACAGGGAACGGCGAGCCTTTGAGACTTGGAGGCGCTGCTCTGTCCTTGCTTGGAAGTGAGGTGTCGGACTTCCCATCCTGGGGTCCGGGTGAGAGATGGGTGGCCTCCCCCAGCAAGAGTTATTTTTTGTCAGAATGGGCCACGTGCTCCGGTGAAAGATAACCCGTCAGTCTGTGCATTTACGGACCACACGGACGTTGTCGCTGCACCTACCCCAAGGACTGTCCTTTGGATTTTCCTTCCACTGACCTCTGGCATCTATTTTGACAGATCCACTCTGTGTCTCCTTTAGTTTGCTTTTGTTTTGTGGGAGGACAGTGCAGGTGGCCCAAGGTCTCCATGTGGCCACCTCCCCCACCTTGCCTCGTCAGCCCCCAGGGCCAGGTGCCCTACTGCCGGGTTGCACAGGGCCTGACAAGGAGCCACAAGCAAATGTGGGATGTCCTCCTCCCCAAAGGCCTCATCCGATGGGTGTTTTTAAATGAAATATATGATCCAAGACTTAAGAACAAAGGCACCTGGGGCAGACTGACCTGGTCGGAGCCCCTTCGTTGCCACAACTTAGCTGTGCGACCTTGAGCGAGTGATGTCACTGTGTGACAAACCTCCCTTTCTTGGTGGGGGGGACTCCCATTCTACCCACGCGGGATTGCTGTAGGATTCAGTGAGAGTGTGTGGGGGAAGCACTTAGAACTGTTCCAGACACTCAGTAAATATCAGCTGCTCTCATTGAACACTATTGTTTTTTCCAGAAATTTCCTCCGCTTCTCTTTACTTATTGATATCTTTACAGATTTTCCCAGCCTCCAGAAAAATGTCAATTTCCTCTCCTTTCTCCCCAGTATAAGATGGTCATTGTTTGGAAGGGTTGGGGCGCACGTCACTTGTCTTCATCATCAGAGCCTTACTGTAGGTTAATGAAAAGTTACGCAGGAAAGGAATTTCTCTACCGTGTGCCATAAGTCTCCCCCCACCCCATTTAAAGATGAGTAAATTGGGGCGCCGGGCACAGCAAATGAGAGCAGAGCCCCGCGGTGTCCTTTCTGCCCTGCTGTTCCTCCTCCTCACCTGCCCTCACGTGAGGATGCTGCTGGGCCACAGCTGCTGGACAGAGAAGGGCCGGAGGCTCCCGAACCAGTCAGCCACTGGTGTTGGCTTGGCCGGTCAGTGAGCAGCCCACCCAGGGTGGGGGTGGCAAAGAGACCCCATCAGACAGAATGCAAGCTCCCAGCTAGTGCCCCAACTTCCCTGGAAGGAGCATAGATGTGTCACGCTGAGAAACCCCATTGGAATGAGCACTGGGGCCCAGGAGCTCAACAGACATTTCCAACTGTTGTTAAAGGCGAAAATGCTGTACGTTTGCACGGTCATGTAGACCACTGACTTAAAGGAATATACGAGTGTTTTCAGAGGTGAGCTGTCTCGGCGTCCATCTTGGAAGTGTTCCACCCTGGCCCAGCTTTGGCCTGGTCAGTATGGCTTGAGAGTAATGTGTATCACTAACCATTACGTTCATGGAGCGTTTCGTTCAGGCTCAAAACAACCAGCCTAAAAGGCAGAAAGCCCCCCGTTCTTCTTTCAGATGCCCTGACGGTGTCATTGGTTTTAATCCCCTATCTCCCTCCAGGGAGAACCCTCTGGGCTCCACTTAATGCAAAGGGCTAATTTCTCCTCTTAACGAAAGAGCCTTTGGCTCTTCCACGTTCAGCTGTGTGGGCGCTGAATGCCCAAGTGATGTTCTCCTGTCCTGCCCAGCGTGTCCGTGCAGCCCAGGGAGCCAAAGCAGACATGAGTTTCAACCTGAGGGAACAAGGGCCACCAGTCCAAGCTCTTACTTCGGCAAAGACATTCTCCCGTGAGCCTGGAGCCCCATTGTCACAGGTCCCGTCTGGGCCTCACCCTGGCCAGCCTCGCCTCGGCTCTGTCATTCGTTCATGCCCTGGCCATTTCCCGAGCGCCACCTGTGCCAGGTGCTGGACCTGCAGAGAGCCACAGCCTTGCCTTCTGAGAGGTAGATTTGTGCTCAGCAGGTGCGGTTCCCCAAGGGCTCCCCTGTCCTGAGAGCCAGGACCGCCCAGCGTGCAGAGTGGCGTGGAGGCGTCTATGGGAGGGAGCACGTGGAGTGGTCCTGCCCTAGAGCCACCGGCGGGTTGGAGTTAGGACCTGCCCCGTTCGTTTCATCTGCTTTGGTGTCCGCATTTGGGGTAATTGGAGTGACAGCTGTAAACGTACACTCGGCAGTGGGGACGCCTAGGCTCTCCAGGGACAGCTCTGCCCCTCAAGGGGCCCTGTGTCCTGAGCTCTGGGCGCTGCAGGCTCCTTTGTCGCACAGCACTGCTGCCCTGCCCCTGGTGCTCACCCTCCCTCAGGTACGGCTTCCCCAGGCCCTGCATCCTCTGCTCTGCATGCTCAGCCCCGGTCCACCCAACTCTGGCCAGGTGGGGGGTGCTCTCGGCACCCAAGCTTCAGGCAGGGCCCTTCCACCGAGGACGTGGCACTGTATCCACTTGGCGCACCGTCTGTTTCACCTCTCTCAAAACGGCAGAGCTGCGGCCGTGGCCAGGGAGGCCTGTGGCTGCACCGGACTTTGCCCAAGACCACTTCTTCCAGAAGGTGCACACGACTATGAGCTGTGTTCTTCGTAAGAAAGTACTTAAACCCATACTAAAACTTTATCAATCTTCCCTCAGTCGAGGACTAATTTAAGACTCATCAATAAGGTGATATTATATTTTACTGTTGATCCCCCCCCTTTTATTTTAAGTTGTATTAGAGAAACCATAGCTCTTCTTCCCAGCAAAAATCCATGGATCCTCCTCAGCCTCAACGTTTAAAGTTCAATTTAACATTTAGGGAGAAAAAAGGTCTCCGAAGGGACTCGTAGCCATTGATTTTGTGTCAGAGTTGAAGAGCGAAAGTTTAAAACACACTGGTCCGCCCAGGTTACGAAGGCCTTGTAAAGAGCCATGTGGAATCGTGCTTCTCTCACTGTAGTTTTTTTCTTTCTGCAGAGGTTACGATAAAAGCACTTAAAGAGAAAATCCGAGAATATGAACAGACTCTGAAGAACCAAGCTGAGACCATAGCTCTTGAGAAGGAACAAAAGTTACAAAATGATTTTGCAGAAAAGGAGAGGTGAGTGTGTGTTCAGGTCCGCTTGAACTGACGTAACGTTTTACCTCTAAAGCTTCACCTTACAAGACAGTTTTAAAAATTTATCTGTGAAATAAGCCCAGGTTCTAAACCAAAATCCTTGGGGTTCCAGGTAAAATTTTGTTTGAGAAACAAAAGTGGCCCAGGGTTTGCAGGTTCGGATTCCAGGCACAGACATACACACCGCTCATCAAGCCATGCTGTGGTGGCATCCCACATACAAAACAGAGGAAGATTGGCAACAGATGTTAGCTCAGGGCCAGTCTTCCTCACCAAAAACCCCCAAATCAAAGGTGTCTCTTATTCTGTAATTTCTGAGTTTCCCTTGAGTGACATTGTACCAGTCTTTCCTCATTGGGGGATGGTTTCCGGGGGTCAGTGGGCCATGCGAGTCCAGGGGTTGAGCATGTATGGCTGGCACATAGCAGCTGTACCTGAGCTGAGCAGAGAGATGGAAAGACCATCCCCCACTGCAGGTCCTCTCTTAAAAGAATTTTGCTATTTAACATCATACACATACACATAATATCTTGGGATTCGTAAAAATTTTTTGCCTCTTATCTTTTCCTTACGTCACACTGCTTCATATGTCAAGGAGTGGATATCAGTAAAATATCCTACTGCGCCATCCAGCTTCTGGGAGTTTTAGATTTCTGCTGGCCTGCTTCACCCAAAACTTTTGCACAAATAGTGAGTTGGTTTTTCACTGGTGATGATTTAATGAAAGCACTGTCAGGACTGTTGAACTTACCAATTCAAAGGGCATGCCAGGTTTTTTTAGACCTCTGGTGAAATTAAGATTTTAAAGTTTCGCCCTATCATGGAGAAATGTGTACGTCCATTAACAAGAGGCATGAAAGGTATGCTGACAGGTAGGAGGCCAGCCTGACGGTGGCATGGGCTGTTGTCATGCTGTTTCCCATTGACTTCGCATGCAGCTCCTTGGACTTCTAGAAGTGGGCTCCGTGAAGCTCTCGGAGCACCAAGGCCTCTCTGGAGCACCGTTAAGCTGGCTCCATTTAGAAAAGAATGGCCGCTCCACTCACTGAGTGCCCATGGCAGACCTGCAGAGTAGACGGTCTTATTTTACAAACAGGGAGACCTGGCCTCAGATTAGGGACCTGCCCACACTCTCCCAGCAGGTCAGCCAGAGGTGGGGCTGGGGCCTGACCCACCACTGCGCCCCTGGCCTCCCTTGTGCTCAGACATGCTCAGAAGTCCTCACTGTGGGACCAGGGCCGAGCCCAGCGCTGAACAGAGACGCCACACCCACGCTGCTGGGAGAGCGGCACCAGGTGCAGCCCCGGAAAGGGAGGGGGCCACACAGAGGGTCAGGGCTCTGAAAGGGGAGTGGACTCTTGACCAGCAGGTATGGACCTAGTGCTCAATACGCCTCCTAGGAAAGCACTTTACACCCCAAGAGATATCTCACCACGTTATTGATAATGGCGGGGCGGGGTGCAAGCAATCAGAATGCCCTGCCAGTGAGAAATGGGTGAGTGAAAGATGGGCCGTCCCTACCTGGAACACTATGCAGCCATTCAAATAGTAGTTACATAGAATTTGCAGTATCACCAGAAATGTATCCGGCATCACGTGAAGTGAAAAATGCATGATGCAAAGTTATCTGCGTAGAGCAGGCTCATGCAGTACAGAAGTGTGGACATAAATTAATCAGTAATTAACTGTTATTAAGCTGCCTCTCCAAATTAGGCAAAAGGATTAATTATATTAAAAGATGTAACTGACTGACCGCTGGGGATGGAGCGTAAAGCTAGATCTTTACCTCATTCTTTACACCAAAAAATTGAAATAGATTTAGGAGTTAAATATTAATAATTAAATCATGTACATACTGGAAGAAAACTTGGACAAATATTTTGTTTTTAATAATTTTGGAGGAGGGAATCTCTTTAAGCATGAAAGAAAAGTTATATTTAAAAAAAAGCTATGTAACTATGACTACCTAAAATTTAAAAGAGCTTTTTAAAAACAAATAACAATAAACAACATTTTAAAAACATCAAAAAACTGGAAAGAAATATTTTCACCACTTAAGAAAAAGGGCTAATTTTCTTTATATACAAAGAGCTCTTAAAAATTAATGAGAAAAAAATCAGTGCTGCAAAAAACGGGCAAAGGAGATAAGCAGAGAGTTCATACAAAGAGAAATGCTCAGCTTTACTCAGCAGCGAAATGAAGTTTAATTTTATCCAGTGTTGGCACAGGAAACGACTCTCACATATTGTTGGCAGGAGTTAAATTGGTGAGGTTTTTTGTTGGGAAGTTTCTCGATGTCTATTGAAAGAATTGCATATACCCTTTGACCATCATAATTGCTCTGTTACGGTTTTATCCAACAGATTCACTCTCAAATTAGGCAACAATATCTATATAATGATCATTGCAGACTTGTTTAGTAGAAGGTAACAGTAGACAATCTAAATGTCTGTGGAGGCTTGGGTAAGTTAATTATGTAGTAAGAGTGAAGAACTCTATATGCTGGAGTAGAACATTTCCAAATTATGGAGGTAAGTGAAAAAGCAAGCTGCAGAGCACCGTGTGTGCTGGGATCCCTTTTGTAGTAAAAGAAAGGTGGGGAGAGTGCATGTTACACCACACTGTATTACATATGAGTGTGTATTACATATTATACTATAATATGTTAAATGAGTGTGTATCACACTACAGGATATTACATATAAGTGTATATTATATTACAGTATATTAAATATGAGTGTGTTTTACACTACAGTATATTCCATATGAGTGTATCACACGAGTGAATATTATACCATGGTATATTACATTGAGTGTGTATTGCATGAATGTATATTACATTACAGTATGTTATGTATGAATGTATATTACAAATGACTATATATTACACTATGTATGTTGCATATGAGTATATATTACACTATAGTATATTCCATGTTGCATTGTGTTTCTGTACATATAGAAAATTGTTAGAAGGCTACAAAAGAACTCTGTCTGAGGAGGAAATACAGCCAAGGAAGGAAAAGGACATTTTACCTTCCACACTCTTGTAATATTTGTGTGTGTGTGTGTTTTTTAACTCAGAGCATATATTAGTGTTATAATTGAAATACGTGAAAATGTGAGCAGTCCTTTTCCATAGGTGATGGAAATTCGGGTGATTTTTTTTTAACTGTAATTTCTGCTTTTCTGTACTCCCAGGTTTATTATTATGAGAGCATGTGTTATATTCATATGATGTAAAAATAATAAACTTATTTTTAGAGATTTTCTGCGGATTAGGAGGAAGGAATGCTATTTATTGACCAGGGAATTCACTTGGAGATCATGGGAAATAGAAATATGAGGAATGTAGTTTAAAACATTCCTAATTTCCCCATTAGGTATTGGAGTTGCATTTGCATTCCATTATAACAGAAATGGAACAGCTGTCACATCTATTTAGTAGCTCCTTTCTTCCAACAAATTCCTTCAATTGTGTCAGCAGAATGTAAATGTATCATTCTTCTTGGGCTAACTTCAGAAAACAATGAGTGCGTGATGATGGTTGGGTTTTTTTGGGTTTTTTAAAAAATATCTGGCATTTCAAGAACAAGTTACATTTATGATAACCTTCTACATCAATTACCACCTGTCAAGTCCCACAGGATGCAACTTCATGTTATAACACGTGGGTACCAAGTTGGGTGTCAAGATCAGAAAGTGGACCCCCCAAGTGCTCTTGGCATGACGAGTGACACCCGATCGTACGCCTGTCAATGGCTGTGTGTATTACAGTGAAGATGCTCCAGCACACACACGATGTGTAAGTTGAGAAACAAGATGACCAATTTGGCTTTATTCTCTTCCTTTTCAGAAAGCTGCAAGAGACCCAGATGTCTACCACCTCAAAGCTGGAGGAGGCGGAACATAAGGTTCAGACTCTGCAAACAGGTGTGTTCGTCTTCCTCCTAGTCCAGGTGACGCAGGGAAGACTGGCATGCGGGAAGTTTGCTGGACCTCCTGGTCCCTCCAGGTCCCCTCTGACACCTGTTGAGCCTGGAGGAGTGAAGGGAGCCAGAGTGCCTCGGAGAGCACCCCCCCCAACCTTGACTGCATTAGTCACCCACATTGAGCTGTTAATGTTGAGGTGGGAGGATCTGAATTCCATTTTCATCCCTTCCACAAGCCATCCTGTCTTCCTGCTCTTGTTCCAACAAACACATTGAAATCACCAAACTGTCAAGGACTGACAGTTCATTTGGAACAATAATAGGGAAAAAAACCTTATTTCTACCCTAAGTGAAGTTAAGGAGAACAGTAATAGCAGACCTTTAAGAGCGAAAAAATGCCAAAAAAGGTTATACTGAAGTTTTTATCATTTCTTTAAACTTCTTTTTTCTTCCTTTTCTTTTTCTTTTTGTTCTGAAAGGGAAACCACACTATATATTTAATTTAAATGTGGAAAAATAACTTAGAAGACATCATAGTCCACGTTAAAACACAGATAACAGAGTGGGAGAAAATAATCACAACAAATTGAAAAAACAAGTGAATAATATCCAAAAAATGTAAAGCCCTCCCACAAATCAATAAAAATAGAGAAACATCCCATAGAGCAGCGGGCTAAGAGTGCGAACAGGCAGGTTGCAAAAGAAAGAAATGCACGTGGCCCGTATACATATGAAGAAATGTTAACCGTTTCTAACAGTCAGGGAGATGCTAATTAAATCAGTGAAAGATTGTTTTGCCTGTCAGACTGTCAGAAATTCTTAAATTGATAATATCCAGTGTTGATGAGAATATAGGAAAATCGTCACGCTCGTACTATTGATGGCAATGTAAATTGCCTCTTGGGAGGCCAACCAGATGGTATTTCTCTGAAGCTGGAGTGTCTCGGCTCCTCACCCGGCACCCCTGCTTCTAGGTGTCCTCAAGTGCCCGGCACGTGGCAGGCTCTGTAGAAAAGCTCATTGTTGCTGTGACTGCCCGTGTCCTGACGTGGAGACGTTTCCACGCCATCCTGCCAAGGGGAAGGAGCGAGTCCCAGGGAGTATTTGGATCATCCTCTTTATCGGGGAGGTGAAAAAAATATATACGTATATGCAGTTACACATGGAAATATTTTTAAAGTAATAAAATATATTTAAAAGTGTGAAATCTACACGCTCAACTCTTACCAGTGGTCATCTCGGAGGAGGTGCTGGGCATCAGAGGCACAGAAGTGACGGGATTTTCTCCTCCTTCTGTGTACTCTGTTGTCTTTGACTCCTTCGAAGTGGGAATATATTACTTGTGTGCTTTTTCTTTTTTAATTTAATTTGAACAATTAGTATCTTATATTATGATTTTATGTCCTGTGCCTTTCAGCCCTGGAAAAAACTCGAACAGAATTATTTGACCTGAAAACCAAATATGATGAAGAAATTACTGCCAAGTAAGTCTCTGCCTGGCTGCCTCCGTCTGCATGGTTAGGTCACAGGTCCCTGATTGGCTGATCCTTGGTTGGGTCACAGGTCCCTGATTGGCTGATCCTTAGAAGGTTTCCCTGCCCCACCCTCCTGTCTGTTGGCTTTGCAAAGCGGTACCAGGATTAGAAGGTGCTTGGCCTCCGGGCTGCTGTGAGGAATATAGTATTCCTGTGAGTCGCTCGTGTCTATTTAATACGCAAGATGTGACAGCAAGCTCTGGTGCTCGCAGAACAATCCTTCCACCTGAAACTTTTTTCCATAATTATTACGAGGCCTGGTCAGCTCGGTGCTTTTTACTAAAAAAGTTGGGAAAGACTTAGCTTACAGAAGACATGATACATGGGATGTTTAGTGGAGCTTGGTCTGTGTAGATTGTGTCACCTTTTACCTGTGCCCGAGTCCTTCACTCCCATACAGGTGTATTTGTTCACACCTTACAACGTGGGGCGTCCCCGCGCAGACACACACGCAAAGGGAGCGTGCGTATTTGGGCAGCTCTGTCACACAGGGCTCTAGTCAGAAGGAAATCCATGCTCCGCTGCAAGTCCACTTGCTGCCGGTCCAGCCTCCATGCAGAACCCCAGAAAGGAGCAAGTAATGTTGACCGAATTCAAGAAGGATGAAGGTGCAGCAGAGAGCGTTGCTAGCACAGCCGCCTCTAGTGAGGTCCAGGCAGGCAGTGCCAGGCTCGAGTTTGAACCATCTTTTCCTGTTCTGGGAGGCTCCTCCCATCTCCCACAGAAACACGTGTCCCCCGCACTCCCTTCCCCACGTCCTGTCCCCCGCCACCACCTCCCCGCTGGGCCTGGCTGTGTCTCAGGCTGCCGTAGGCCAGGGAGAAAGGTCTCCTGCTGTGGTCACACAGGGCCTCAGGGGGCGCTGGTGAGTTGGGGTGCCTCTGAATATGCTACCCTCCTCCCAGGCTTCTGCTCCGTGTGGGGTGCTGGTACTTGGCTCCCCTCTGTCCCGTCCCTCGCCCTTGGCCATTGAGGCTGCTGCTGGGCCAGCTGCTCTCAGGGCCCGTGGAGGGTGGGCTCCTGACCTTTGCTCTGGCTTGTTCAGTAGCTCGAGAGCTTGGGAGCCCAGCTGCCCGGGCCTGGTGGTCAGAACCAGTTTTGATCATGAACACAGAACTCCTGCACAGAGACTAAAATGTCCTTGTCAGTCTCAGCGACTACGGCTGACCTGTCGGCCGGTCTAATCCCCGTGGAAACTGCCAGATCATTTTACCCCGTTCTCAGCTGCTAAAACGTGACTTTAGGTGACACAGGGCGAGCTGGTTCTGAGGTGTGGTAACTGTTAAAATTTCACTTTGAAAATTGGAGGCTCTGGGATGAACTCCTCCAGCCCAGGGCGTCACCGTCGGCAGGATGGCGCATGTGCGTCCCCACCTGCCCCTGACCCCACAGCTGAGAGCACCTCACCCCCTAGATGTCAGGTCGGCGGAAACCACACCCACTGCTGTCACCTTGACACTCCTCACCGTCTGTGCCTCGGTTCCCTTTTCTGCCAGTCTGTCATCTTTGTTTTTCTATTATTTCTGCCTGGACTGTCTTGTACTAAGTAGGTCGTTTTTCTCAGTAAATTCAATTTTTAAAAATTATAATACAGTCAGCTGTTGGCATCCTTAGGTTCTGCATCTAAGGATTCAACCAACCCCAGGGTCGAAAGGCCTGCAATGGTTGCGTCTGTACTGAACTCGTACAGCCTTTTTTTCTTGTCATTATTCCCTAAACGATACACTATCTCAACTATTTACGTAGCATTTACATTGTGTTAGGTGTTATCAGTAATCCAGAGATGATTTCAAGTATTCAGGAGGATGTGTGTAGATTATATTCCAATCCTATGCCATTCGTGTCAGGGACTTCAGCATCAGTGGACTTCGGTACCCGTGGGGGTCTTCCGCGCATGCCAAGGGACGACTGTGTTTTAATCTGATACGTAGCTCTGTCCTCAGTTGGTAGCATTTCTTTTCTAAAATAGTTTGTATCTGTAGGCAAAACCCTAGTTCCTCGATCCGTTCACTCTTATCCACATCATTTACTTGTCAAAATTCATAGTGACCTTGGTTGTGATGTATTTGATTATTTCACTAGTTTGCGTTAATTTATTTTACTTTTATTAAGCTACACCTCTTTCTAAAAGACATAGATACATTTTGTGTATCTATAATCAGCCAAAGTTTGCTTTATTACATACTTAAAAAAATCTTTTGTGCAACCAGCCTGTAAACCCTTCTAAGCCAATGTTGTTTTTCAAATTGTGAGTCACAGTCGTGACATCAATTTACTGCGTGGCAACCAGCTAGTTGGGTAATAAAGTAGAATAAAAAGCGAAATAACAGAATAGAAAAAAGTTGTCATAACACGTAATAAAGTTAGGTATTGTCGTGTGACATTTTTTAATTATATTTATAAAATCATGATGTAAAATGTCATTCCTCCCATGAATCTCAACCAGAAGCCGTTTTGAAAGCCTCTGCTCCCAGAGTGTGCTGAAAGCTCAGCTTCCAGAAGCCAGGGCCCCCTGCCGTGCTGTCCGCGTGCGTGCTGCTGAGGCGCTGTTGGCTGTGGACATCCACCTGCCTGGGGAGTAGATCCTCCTCATGGCGTAAAGCACCTCCCGACGCTGTTCAGAATTGGCAGCAAAGAGTGTCGCTTGTCACGTGATGGCTAAGTGCTGGTCCCTGGTTTCGATTCATAAATTTCTCATCGGGCTCCTCAAGGCCACAAGGCAAAATTGTCTCCATGTAATTGGTTTATTTAGGGGTTGAGAAAGAAGCACAACAGAGAACTAGGAAGAGCTTAACTTTTCCTCACTCACAGGTTTTCATCTTCTCTAGGTAGGGAATATGGCAGCCAGGGAAGTGACCGGGAGAGAGGACCAGAGAGGGAGGGACGTTCTATCCCCTGTCCCCACGCTCTCCTGGCCTTGCTGTTGGTCAGGCTGATGCTGGGAGTGATTCACTTCTGTCAGCCAGACTGCCACTTAACAGAGGACAGCTCGGCCGCCTGCTCCCAGGTGATCCACTCCTGGACAGGCTCAAAGGTGCCTTTGAGATGACGGGGCTCGTTTTCAGTCTTACGTATTTCTAATTACTGTTTATGGACACATCGACTCCTGGGCTTTGCCCGAGGACCCACCTCTGTCATTTTACAGGTGAGAACATTAGGTCTTGGGATGGTCACCTGAATCAGCAAGGTCACCCAGGGGAATACCAGATGCTGGTCCTCCTGAGGCTGGGCCACTTCTAGAACCCTGACCCCACTGGCATCTGATGAGAAGTGGTGGTTATGGGTGTGGGCTCAGTGAGGAACATTTCTAGGCTGATACTTGCCATCATATCAGTGTGTTTTAAGGCCAAAAAGATTTTTTTTTCCAAAATCCAAGTTAATGAAAATCTATGTTACTTGCCCAGTTTCATCGAACTACAGGAAATGGAAAATAGAATCCAAAAGTATGGAGTCAGTTGTTCTATGGGGTAAAAGTACTCTGCCTCAGGACCGTGGCTGTTGTCACAAACTGCTGATGGGGCCATGGGCACTGTTGGGGTGTGTCCCCTCCTGTAATCATAGCAGGGAACTCTCTCATCTTCTTCAGCGATGAATGGGGAGGCAGGGTGTGGTGTACACGTCTGCGCGTGGAGAGAAGGAGCCTGGCTTTGGTGACGGGCACGACTCCCAGATCACAGACCCGCTCGTTAATCCCGCAGATGTGCCTGGAGGCCGCCTTGTGCATAGGTCTGTGCTGGGCTCTGGAAATCCTGAGATAAAAGGTGCAGGGGTGGGGCTGGCCCGGTGGCGCAGCGGTTAAGTTTGCGCATTCCACTTTGGTGGCCCGGGGTTCGCCGGCCCGGATCCCAGGTGTGGATATGGCACCGCTCAGCAAGCCATGCTGTGGCAGGCGTTCCACATAAAACAGAGGAAGATGGGCATGGATGTTCGCTGAGGGCCAGTCTTCCTCAGCAAAAAGAGGAGGATTGGCAGCAGATGTTAGCTCAGGGCTGATCTTCCTCAAAGGCAAAAAACAAAGGTGCAGGGGGAGAAAAGCCATTGCAGTCCAGTGTGTTCGCTGCTCTGAGCGAGGGGACGTTAGTGAGCACAGCACTGTGCCCTGGGTCTCCACGGAAGACAGCATGCTCCAGCTGGGACAATCAGAAGAGAGTTCCATGTCGAGACCCTTCGCCAAGGCGTGGGCCGGGAGGAGGGAAACCAGAGGGAATGGGGCGTCCGAGCCTAGCACTGGCCGGGCTTCACCATGCCTAGGTTGGGAGGGCCCTCCTTGAGAGGAGCTGTGGTCTTTGGGAAAGGAGAGGGATCCAGGGCTGCACCGGCAACCTCTAACCTTACCCTCCTCCCTCCCGCTGTCAGGACTCCCCATGGCCAAAGTCAGAGGGCAGCTTCTGGTGGAGGAGCAGGGGGAGACAGGGGACAGGGCACTGGAGGTGGGAATGGCAGAGCTCGAGCACAGACCCCACGCAGCTGGAGCCAAAGGACGGAAGTGTCAAGGAAGTCTCCTGAAGGTGGTGACATGTGATCTGAGGTTGAAATGAGTCAAGGTGAGGGGTCCCTGGAGGCTAAAGGAATGTAATTTGTGGACACACAGGGCAGGCCAGGCTGACCTCCTGGAGGACCAGCCAGAGGCTCTGAAAGCTGACCCCCAGGGGCAAGGTGGGCACGCCCAGGAGGGACTGCCCCGATGCTCACAGGGGCGTCGGGCACTTCCCCAATCAGAAATGGACTGACTGCTAACAAAAGGCAGCCTGGGGCCAGACACTTACTGTAAATGGTCCCCAGAGTAAGTAATCCACAAAAAATGTCGAGAATGGACTGAGATAATAATTGCTACTTTCTTTTAACTTTGGAGGCGATTGCTGCAGTCTTGGAGATCCCATCTGAAGCCTCCCCCTCCACGTTCCTCTCCCCTTTTATTTTCCGGGAAAGGTTTGTCACTTTACCATCTG